AATAAATAAATAAATGAACCAATAAGTGATGCACGACACGTGACGTTGTGAGTGAGCGGTCCTCCCATCCGTCCCTCACACCCTTGGCCCGCCCTTCATCCTGCAAGCCTCCTCCTTGCGACCGAAAGCCCGCCAAGCGGACCAAATTAACTTTGTTATTTTCGCATAAATTATGACGCCTGCGCGCCAAATATGCGAAGGGGGGCTCCAGATGAGCAGCCTCTCTCTCTCTCTCTCGGGGAATGGGCAGCGCGGGTAGGGGGAGGACAGCGGCAGTCAGGTCACGTGGCCGAAAAGGGATTGCCGCCGTGAAGGCTTTGTGACCATAGACCAACACGCTGCCAAGAATTTTTCATACCGAATTTCATGTCAGAGAGGCTGCTGGGCGGGGATGTGGGTGCGGGGGCTGTGTCGGGGCCGCCGTCAGCGCCGCCGTCTGCAAGGGGCGCGCGGCGGTAGAGGACCGACACGTCCACGGTAAATACGTCCACAGCAGTTTGGACGTAAATGAAGCGCTTTGCGAAAATACGTCCAATGATTTGGACGTAAATTAACGTCTGTGATTATTACGTCCACAGTGTGGATGTACTTACGGTCCGTCTGAGGCTGGTGAAAATACATCCACAAAATCTGGTGCTAATTGTCACCGCTGCGATTCACATCCTCAAGGAATGACCGAACGAGCAAAGCATAAACGCATGCCCGTATGCCTGTTTCCTCTCTACACTGACCACCTATAAGTCATCAACTGTTCAACACTTGTAAGTGTGCAACAGAGTTGTTGTGCTTTCGCTATTGCAAGTGTAAAGAGTTTAACAATTTTTGTTTATAGGTAAATGAAAACTACCATTGTCTCGGCCCGACTGTGTAGAGCGCGACATGAGAGGCAATGCAGAGAGCCCAAACCAGCAGTGTACCGCGCGGTAACTGTATAAAAAATCTTACAACTCTATCAACGTCCTACTCTTTGTGCGTATTTCTAGAGTTTTCAGAGTAGCACAAGCGTGACCTACAATTGAGTGTGTAGGATTTTCGCGCCACTCTCGGAACTGTCGTACTGTTGGATTTTCAGAGTGAGGGCAAAACGTCATCCGTGTGGATGTAAATGAGAGGTGACAAGTGGCAAAATATTTTGTGGAGCTATTTTCACCAGCCTTAAAAGTACATCCACACTGTGGACGTAAAAAACACATCTGTTAATTTACGTCCAAATCATTGGATGTAAATTTGTGGACGTGTTTTCACAACGCGCAAATTTTGTGGACGGATTTACTGTGGACGTGTCGGTCCCGCCCCCGCGCGGCGAGGGCGGGCGCGCTCTGGGGCGGGGCCCCGGCGAATGAGACAGTTGTTCTCACAAAGCTCTTCTAATTGCGACACCGTGTGCGCCACTCGGCCGGATATGTAAATCCAAACGGAGCGGGCCCTGCGCTCGGAGCAGCCGCCGCCGGCGACAGCGACTATACGCGACGAGCCCCGCCCGGCTCCGGCTGCATGCACGCTCGGCGCTTTACTTACACACAATGAATACACAGCGCACCGGTCCTTACAAATGAGTTCTACATCAATGATGCTGCGCTGCGTAAGTATAGAAAGAAAAACGGGAAAAGGATGTCTGCACCACATCCCCGCCCCTAGCTAGCAGCCGCCTCCGTTTCTCAGCTCAAGGCCCGGCTGATCCAATATCGATTTTCCTCCTAACCGTGTCAGCAGCTCAGCAGCACGTACCTTTCCCGCCTGAGGCTGCTAACGTCCTCCCGCGAGAGAGAGAGAGGGAGAGAGCGATAGATGTCCTGATGCACACGCGACAGAGATGCCGAGACTTGGAACACCCCAGTTATGATTCCTCCCCTCTCGTGTGTTGTAAGAAGGCCTAGGTTGTGATGAAATCGCATACCTACGGAGAATTTTTTTCAGCCAAGTATAATTCATTAACTAGTCGATCCAACGTTACATTGCCTCACTCCGGCAAGGCCGAGGGCTGGACGTCGTCGTCGTTGTGGAGCCTCAGGAACGGCGCCCGTCCTGCTCGAACGGGCGGGCGGCGAGGTGCGCGGATAAAAATATATCTGGAACTCGTAAGTCATCGCTGTGGTGCCGTATCAGCAGAGCCATCCATAGCCACGTCGAGCCACGCCTAGCTCGGTCGGTCAGGTGCCGTTGGCCGCTGGCCGGCGCTGGCCGGCGCTGGTCGGCGCTGGCTCGCGAAGCCAAGATTAATCCTGTGGTGATCCACGCGGCCAAAAACTTCTCCAGCGGACTAGGGAGCCGTGGGCCGTCTCTGCGATTCCACATCGCGCCCTCTCCCCCACCCCCGCACACACACACACACACACACACACACACACACACAATAAAGTTGATCCGCTCATTCTGAATCAGCAGGAGTCGATAATATTACGGCAAACCAACATTTTTCTTCAACATCAAATGACGACAGGCGGGTGACTGTAAATCCTGGGTGTCCAGCAGGTAGGCAACAAAGTCGCCTGATCTAAAAAACTAGGCGACTTAAGTCGACAACTTGCTGGACACCTTGATGCTTCTCACAAGATCTAGGTTATTCTGCCCAAATGCACTGGATATCAGTGGAGCATATCATATCCATGGGAGAGTGATAGGGGTGATATAAACAACAAGCAGCAAAGCCGCCCACTAATCGGACACATGAGGTGTCCAGATGTCAGACGTATTACAGGCTGACCAGTTACGGGACACCAATGGTTATGTATGAGAAAGAGATGGGAATGATAGTCTGTCATCAGCATGTTGCACCCTGTCCAGTGCCAGGGTGCCCAGCTATGAGACACATCTGCATTGTGCCCAGTGAGAATACAGCATACAGCATGAGTTTGGTGCTCATCAGGCCAAGCAATGCCAGCTATGACAAAATTAGTATAGTCTCTGAACTGGTGTGCAGATGTGTCGAGCATTTTGTAGTGTTGGGTCGTTGGTCACTCACTTACCGACAATGGTGTTCTGTTGACCTGCTGTGCCAGCCATAACCTCTCCTCAGCTCTACTGTTGTTCACAAACGAACACATTCAGAATGGGCCCGGGTAAATCCTGGCTCTTCCCTCCTGGCGTCGATAGGAGAAGACCAATTGACGCACAAATTTGGCACATGACAATCTTCCTTTAGACACAAAAACCGCAATACTTTTGAGGATTTTACAACTCAACGAAAACGGCGGAAGGCCAAACAAAAGAAGCTTCGATGCGACAAGCCGAACGTGGCGCGCTCTAGCGGCGTCTCCAGTCGTCACCAAACTCACGCCTACTGTGATGCGCCCTCTATCGAGGGGTATTGACAGATGGCCGTGCCGCACTGCGATACTCGGTGTGCTTGGTGCTTTGGTCCTTTCCGGGCAGGTGAAGTGTGAAATAAGGACTGGAGGCGTCGCTAGAGCGCGCCACCCTCGCCCGGTCTATATCGAATCTCCTTACGTTTTGCCGTTTTCGTGGGGTTGTGAAATACTGAAAAGTACTGCGTTTTTGTGTCCAAAGGAAGATTGTCACGTGTCAAATTTGTGCAGACTCGACACAAAGTTCACAAACTGAGGGACACCAGACACGGATCTGGGAGGAAGTTGTATGAAATGGGAGCGCCGACAGCACGACGGGGTGGAGGCCCGCAGGGCGGGCCGGACGGAGGCCGACATGGAGGACCAGTAGTGCGCCCAGCTAGAAGGGAGGGCCACGCCAGGGCCAGGGCCAGGTGGGGCGGGCCCGAGGCAGGCGCACGACAGACACCCGTATGGAGGTCAAGGCGGGGGTGAAAAGGGAAGCAGGAAAGGGAACGGCCGTCCGTGACCGGCCGAGTTGTGAAAGGCTGCTGCTCTGGCTCGGCTGGGCAGGCCGGGCTACGCTGCGTGGGTTGAGGAATGATGAAGAGATTTGGCGTCGAACACAACACGACGGACGGACGGACGGACGGACGGAAAGGATTTCCGCGCACAAACCAAAGGCGGCCGGCGGTACCCTGCAAATTATTGCC